CACAGGAAAATACTGCAATAGAAGCCTTGAAACGAATCAGAACAAATATAAATTTGTTATATCTATTTGAATCAGCCTCATTAGACCTAGCAGCAATTAGAAGAACAAACCTAAATACTGGAATATTAGCATTATTACAAACATTAGATTATTTAACAGATAGAACTTACCCATTTTGCTTTGTGAAAAACGTTACATCACAAATTCAAGGAATAAATGAAATATTAGATAGAATAGTACCATGAAACTATAATAACTAAAAGACTTAGTAAAACTTCAAAACACAGGGCAGAATTGAATTATGCAAAAATTTCTGAAACTAAACTTTTTAGAAATTATTAAATTTACAGCAACAATTATTTTTACAAAAAGAAACCACAGGAGAAATATACTTTTGCACCTCAGGATAATTATCCAAGACAGATAGAAAGATTTTTAGAAACCCCCAGATTTAATTATATCTGGAACCTCCAACTAGTACTTAGAAATACCCTTTTAAAAGAAATTGACCCTAACCAAAAAATACTATTTCAAAGATCTACCAACGAAATATTATTTGATATAGATGTAACATTATCAAATTTAATATCCTGCTGTAATCCTACAAGTAACTCAACAATAGGAAATTTATTATGATTACTACAATTTACTAAAGCTCTTATTAGATTCAATTCACAAATACCTGCAAATTTTCAAGAACGAAAAGATATACAGAAACTTTAACAGCAACTGTCTGATAATTCGAACAAATATGGGACATAAACCTAAAACACAACGTACCCAATTCATTGAAAAATATATTATATAATCTTATATTTATAGCAGAAGATTTGCTAATAAAAGAAGGAGCCAAAACAATTAAGGACGAAGAAAAAGAATTAAAATATTTCGAAAAGATATTTTAATGGAAAATTTAGGATTCACAAAAACTGAAAAGAAACATATTAAAACAAAGGAACAATATAAGCTCAAACTTTTATTCAACTCTCTGAAACATATATATCAGAAGGATAAATTTAAATACGAAGAAAGTAAAAAAGTACAAGAATTACGGAGAAGAGTCAAGTGGCCGTCAAGAGAAAGAAACTTCCAATTACTAGAATCTGTGATAATTAAAATAAAAGAAAACCCATCAGAATACGGATTATCAACCAAAATAATTAAAACATACCAGGAAAAAGTATATCTACTACTGCATAAAAAAGGAAAATCGTATACTAGCCTACATTTCTTACTTCTAATTGAATCATTGGAACTTGAGAAGGAACTTCAAAAAGAAAGATTCAAGAAAAATAAGGCATCAATAATTCAGAATATAGCATCAGAATTTTATAAAAATGAAATACAAACCTTTATAGAAAAGAATAAAGAAACTACAATTCAAGAAATTGAATTAAAATTGGAAGCTCTTGAAGAAATCTTTAAGATCAAGTTAGAAGAAATCGAAGAAACTAATGGAACTAATTGAACAGCAAAATAATTACTATATTATATTAAGATACCTAATAGAAAAATTCATTTACCTCAAGAAACAGAAACCACAGAAAATATATCTCAATTGGCGAAATAAGAAAACTTATTATGAAACCCTCTTGACATTTGAAGGATTGAAATCAGGATTTCAACACCTTCTGCTAATATTGGAAAAATACGAATTACCTAAAATAGCACATGAATTTAGAACCAAATTTGGTCAAAAATTAGAAATTTCAAATGCCTACAAAAGTCTACGATATAAGAAGTGGTTAGCATATAACCAAGAAATACATTCTGAGATCCAAAAGATTGAAAGAATATGAAATTTACAAGAAACTATATTATACGAAAATGAAGCAACACATCAGAAAATATAAGTTCAAACTAGATACCTGAATATATTAAGAAAAATAGTAGAAGCCTCAGCAACAGGAAATAAATTAAATTACAGAGGATACGAAACCAGGTTACCTACTATTGACCTCCTACTTACAGGACAATACCAACCATTTTGATAATGGAATCAGAAAAATTAGTTGAACTCTTGGAACAACGAATTAATATTTACCAAAACTTAACTGATATTAACAATTATCTTAATACTGAAACTGAAACCGAACAATGAATCAAATTAGAGACCTATAAGGAATTATTTGAAGAACTAGGAAAGGATATAGAAAAACAGATAATTGCAAAAGTAACTAAATCATAAATTTACTAGGAAACAACTGGACACGAAAATGCCCAGGATGCAACATCCTATATCCATACTACCTCTTTAAAGAATTCGATAGAAACAAACCAATATTCTTTGACCATTGTAACAACTGTAGAAACCAATTTTATATAATAACACAGAGAATTTCAAATATTGATCTTCCTACAAGAAGATTAGTACAAGGAATATTATTTAAGAAAATAAATGGTAAACCATACATATCCCTATCAGAAAGAATTGATCCAGAAAGACCCTACTGGCAACATTTTCAAGGACCAGGAGGAAAAGGAAACCTAAATACTCATGGTCATCCATACGAAACAGCTAAAGAAGCATTTTTCAGAGAATGCCTCGAAGAAACCAACTTAGAACTACAAAAAGAAAAATTGATAAACATTTGGAAAGAAACTGCTCTAAGTAGATTGGAATGGATGTCATAAAAGAACTGTCCAATACTCGAAGCAAAATTCAAAATCGAATGAACTATTTTTATATATCTAGTAGATGACTGGATGGAACCTCAATGAATGGAACCTACCAAAGCCTCAGAATGGCAATGGTATACATTCGAAGAAATGATGACATTACAACTAATCCCTATGTTTGCACAAAATTTAGAATTAATATTCGGAGAAATTAATGCTTATTATGAAGAGGAAGCATTACATGAAAGAAACCCCGAAAAGCAACCGTATGATGAAATTGAATCGCTTGATGATGAAGAAGATTATAAGGAATCTCTTGACAAGATGACGAATCAAGATTTCGAATCAGTCAATAAAATACCTGAATATGTCACCAGACACGAGATTCTATGGATGGAAAACTACGTAGATAAACTCCAAAAGAAACTTCAAGAAACTAAGGATCGAATCCGCAGAGCTAACAAAATTATCAATGACCACTACAAGACAAAATATCTTGTAATTTTCGAACCAAAAGATAGAACCCACGTGGTCGCATCAATAAAGAAACCAACATTAGCCGAATTAAAGATTCGACCCTATATTTGGAACAAACTCATAAATCGCAACTTTACATACAGGACCGCTAGAATGATAAGGAACAATCAAGAACAATTTCTTATCAAAATAAGAAACCCGAAACAAGATGACTCATCAGGATCAACAGTAACAATCGAATTTTTATATTCACAATACGCTAATCATACGTTGATCTAGGAACACCATTTTAAGAAATAAAGCCGAAAGACTTTGGAAACTCAATTTGACCATAAAAGGAAAAACCCGGTGAAATCTATCCGGACAAGTAGATCGATGCTTGAGCCATGACCAAATATAGTTTTGATTTACATAGTACGCCGCACACCCCAATGTTGAACGGCTTCAATAAATTCTTCCCAAAAAGGGTTTTCTATTGCCGTAAAAGGAATACCAGCAGAATAAAAATATTTTGCTAATATATTATCAACATCAGATTTTTCCACTGACATAGAGACAGAGTCTTGAATATTTAATGAAACCTTTATGTTTTTTGGAAGCTTTGTACACTTTAATAAATGTTCTTTAATCTACCGATTAAATGAACAAAGTCTTCCTCACAATGATTACACTTCTGACGAGGTGTTGATCGACCTTGTTTGTCACTTTCTGTGACTTTTGTAAAATTTGAGCGAACCTCTTTAAATGGAGGCCTTCCACGGGACATAGTTAATGAAAATATCGTAATAAATATATTATTAGTAATCGTAATAAATATATTATTAGCAATCGTAATAAATATATTATTAGTAATCGTAATAAATATATTATTAGCAATCGTAATAAATATATTATTAGCAATCGTAATAAATATATATTATTAGTAATCGTAATACCGTAAACTGCTGACTCAAGTACCCGGTGTGATGCAATTTTTCATATAGTGAAAATTAAAATTCACGTATATTATATATCACATACACACATAAATAGTATTTTAAAAAAATTGATTTGCCAAAATCGGTCTAATAGGGACAGGGACTGACCGATCCATCCCTACTATGAGCCGAGGTGATCATTAAGATCAGTGTTGGCAATTTTACCGGCCAACCCAAATTTGTTTGGCCTTTTCGGCTAAGAAATTGACCGAATTGGCTGTTTTTTGGCGGCCAAAAATATGTTTGGCCGGTAAAATTGCCAACACTGAATAAGATTAATAATATATTTTGCACTTGTTGCGCCAAAAATTATGTACTTCTTTAAAACGCTAAAACTTTTTACCAATAAATTTTCTTAAAAAAACAGATGATAACTTTATACATGTGTTATCAACCGTTTTTTTTAAAAAAAAAATTTATCTGTAAAAAATTTTAGTGTTTTAAAGAAGTACGTACGTACTGTACGCACTATATTTTTTGGCACAGCTAGTTCAGAAAATCGAAATACAGTGCATTAATCTTATTAATCAACAATGATCACGAGAAATTGAAGCATCTTTCGAGTATAGACTAGAGTTGCAGGTGAAACTAATTAATTTCACCGGTTTCACCAGTTTCACCTGGTGCACCATCGATGCACCGTTGAAGATTAGCTTCATCTATAACTCTAGTTTTATCATCGGTGCACCAGTTTCGCCAGTTTCGCCTGGTGCACCATCGAAGATTAGTTTCACCTGCAACTCTAGTATAGACTTCCTTAATTGTGAATAGCATTCATTTTGATGCTGATCGAGCTCTTCAGGAGTATTGATCGGTATGCTAATAAAGTACGTATATACAAAATTTCATAATTCTTAAAGTTATAAATAACCGTGATTTCTTAGATTTTTAAAATAAAATTTATGTTGTTTGTAATTCAAATTTAAAATGTATAAATTAAACCAAATCAATACTAAACACCCTATTTCAAAATTCCAAGAAAGTCTATGGTTCGAATATTGCAATGATCCAAAATCTTATAATTACAACGGAATTAATATTATCGATGTAGACAAATCTAGATCTACGCGAGAAGCTGTTTTCGCTGCTAACAACTTGATGTCAAGGTATGGAATTTTACGAAGTACCTTTCATGATAAAGATGACGACGGAAAACCTACGAGATGCTACCGAAGAGAATATCCAATGGAACATGCGAAAAATGTTGTTCATTTGATGATGACACCTGTTGATATAGATGAGTTAGTAAAAATGCCTTTTAAACTTGAAAAATCATACCCTGTTCGATTTTACGTTATAGTGGATCCAGTTAAATCGGATTATAAAATATGTTTAATTGGTCATCATATTGTTATTGATGGTATAAGTAGTTATAGCTTAGTACTTGATTTTTACAAATTGTTATTCGGTGAATCCTTGCCAATACTTAATGGGATAACATATGACGGTTTTATCTCGCAACATGAGGAATGGCTTAATTCCAATGATTTTAGACTCAAACAAAAATTTTGGTGTGATCAAATCAAGTCAACTAAAAATGTTGAATGGCCAATGCAACTACCATCTGTTCAGCACTCTTTACATGATAAACAAAATGCACACCAATATCAAGTTTTTCATAATAATGCTGAAGAATTAAGAGCTCTAGGTTATAAATTTAATGTTACCTGGTTCATCACCATGTTTTCGGCTGTATGGATCACTTTGTCGTCATTCATTGATTTAAAGAATGCAAATATCTGGCTTCCATTCTCTGCACGTTCCATGCCAATTAATTGTGATAAAAATGCATTATCTCGACTTGTTGGTAATTTCGCTAACGTTATGCCAGTTCATCTAAATATTGATGCATCTAATTCAATTGATTTGCGTTCAACTATTCAGCAAGTAGCAAAATTGATATTTACCGCAAAGCAAAATGAAATGTATCCATTTATTGATCTGGCAAGATATGCACAACAAACATTAAAACGTCAACTTATTCAACAAATAATTATTACCAAAACACCAAAAATGCCTATGAATTGTCAAGTCAAAGCTGTACGATCTGATGTAGAACTCTGGTTTGATTTTAGCGAACAATCAAATAGCATGATAATGTTTAATATTAATTATAATCCAACGATTTTTAATAACCATAATATTAAATTAATAGGAGAACAATTTTTAAAAGTAATAAATATAATGAAAAATTATGATGACTTAGAATTAAAAATTCCAAAACTTTCAATCGATCAAGATAGCATAACGTTAATTAAATTAAAATCTAAATCCGAAAATGATTTATCAGTACCACAATCATTTCCAACAATCCAAGAACTTTTTCAACAACAAGCAAAGAAATTACCAAATCAACTAGCATTATACATGGGTGAACTTGGATTATCAATGACATATGAACAACTAGATAAGAAAAGTAACCAAATTGCTCGATATCTTTTTCAAATTGGGGTGAAAATAGAAACCTTAGTTGCAATTCATTTAAATCAGGATATGTATATGATTCCTTGGATATTAGGTATTCTTAAAGCTGGCGGCGCTTATGTTCCTATTGATAAAGCATATCCAGCAGAAAGAAAGAATTATATAATTAAAAATTCTAAAATTTCATATTTTATCACTGATGAGGAATGTAATAATTGGGTTGAAAACTTTTCTGGTAAAACAATTCAAAGTAATACAATGGATGTTATTAAACAATCTGATAGCACAGTCGAATCAGTATGCCATGGAGAAAACCTTTGCTATGTTATGTACACTTCTGGTAAGAAAATTTGATTTTATGGTTTTACTTTTTAAAGAATTATAATTAACACTTTTATTTTCGATTATTTTAGGATCAACAGGAAAACCAAAAGGTGTATTGGTAGAACATAAAAGCATTACAAGTTTATTAATGGACCCTAAATATGAGCATTTTAGATATAAAAATGGAGGAATTAGGGTATTACAAGCGCTATCCATGGCTTTTGACGCATCATTATTAGGTTGGGCAATGGCGATTACTAATGGTTCAACTATTTGCTTTGCTAAAAATCCAAATTTATTAGTTGGAAATTACTTATTAGATGTTATAAAATGTAACGAAATAGAAGCAATGAATATTGTACCAACCATCTTGGCTACCATGTCACCTAATAACTGTAGTCCAACTTTAAAATATCTCGAAGTTGGTGGAGAAGTTCTTCCAAATAATTTGGCAAACATTTGGAAGAATCGTCTTAAGAAATTTTTTAATACATATGGCCCTACTGAAGGAAGTGTTATGGTAACAAATTACGATATCATAACTGAACAAAATCTTGTCACAATGGGTTCGGCAATTGGAACTCCACGTGATCATACATCTATATATATTTGTGATCCAATAACACAAGAATTAGTAAGTGATAAAGGAGAAATATTGATTGGCGGTGTTGGATTGGCAAGAGGATATTTGAGACAGGATGATATCAATAAAGAACGCTTTATATTTCACCCAAAATTACAAAAACGTTTATATCGTACTGGTGATCAAGGATGTATTCTAGAAGATGGTAAAGTTATATATTTAGGAAGGTTTGACCGTCAAGTGAAACTTCGTGGGCTCAGAATCGAACTTTCTGAAGTTGAAACTATAATTTTGAGTAAATGTCCAGAGATTTGCTATGTGTCAGTTCAAGTTAATGAAGAAAAAAAGTCATTAGTCGCATTCGTTATGCCAAAGAATTTGGACCATAAAGAAATTCGAAATAAATTAATCAAAACAATGGCAAAATTCCAAATTCCAGATATTATACCAGTTGATAATTTACCCTGTATAGATAATGGAAAGATAGATCATGCTAAGGTTAAGAATATTATGCCCAAATTACTCAAAAAAGCTATTGAATCTGTAACTCAATATAAGAATTCTAAAGTTTCGCTTGTTTCACATCTACAAGCCATATGGCAAAAAATCCTTGTGTTAAAAGAAAAACCAGATATTAATACTAATTTTTTTGACCTTGGCGGCCATTCTCTTTTATTATTACAATCACAAAAGGAAATTCAACAACAAATTTCACCAGTTGATCTTGTTGACCTTTTCCAAAATCCAACAATTGAATCTTTGGCAAATCATCTCATACCTACAGATCAATCTTTGGATTTAGATAATTCTATAAGGACGTCTAATAATGATCAAGTGATAACTGCAAATGAAATAGCAATTATAAGCATGGTTGGTTGTTTCCCTGGAGCTGAATCAGTTAATGAATTATGGGAAATGATAAAGACCGGGCAACATGGGATTCACACATTTAGTGACAAAGAGCTTGATAAGATGAATACGAAAAATAGTAATGATCCTCATTATGTACCAAAATGTGGTGTGCTCTCAAATATTGACAAATTTGATGCCGAATTCTTTAAAATTAATCATCAAGAAGCAATTTCAATGGATCCACAACAACGTCTGTTATTAGAAAAAAGTGTACAAGCTTTAGATGAAGCGGGAATCAATCCACAGTATGAAAAAGGACGAATTGGAGTATTTGTTGCAATTGAAAAAAGTACATACAAGAACCATTCATATGATAATGAAAATGATATTTCAAAAAAATATAGTGAAGAACTTAATACCTCATTCGGAAGTGCAGCAACGAGAATTGCATACCATTTAAATCTTAAAGGGCCAGCATTTTCTCTTAATTCTACTTGTTCTAGTTCTTTAACTGCATTAAAGACAGCATGTAATAGTATTCAATGTGGTGATTGCGATGTGGCTATTGTTGGTGCTGCTTCTATTGTATTACCACAGTCTGGTTATATAGCACAATTAGATCTTATTTTTTCAGCAAATGGGATATGTCGCCCATTTGATCATAATTCTGATGGAACTATTCTTGGAAACTCTGTATCGGTCATTGTTTTGAAACAATTACCCAATGCAATTTCTGATCGAAATCCAATTTCTGCTATTATTAAATCAATTGAGTTAAATAATGATGGAAATAATAAGTTAGGTTATACAGCACCAAGTGTAGATGGACAATATGATGTAATTAAAAAAGCTATTCAATCCGCTAATCTTCTTCCTGCTGACATTAATTTTATTGAAGCTCATGGAACTGCCACTAAACTTGGTGATCCTGTTGAAATTAAAGCTCTCACAAAAGTATTTGCTGAATATTCACCAACAACTAAGAAGCATTGCGCTATAACTTCTGTGAAATCTAATATTGGTCATTGTAATGTTGTAGCTGGTTTTACTGGGTTAATAAAAACTGTTAAAGCATTAGAGGATCGTGTTATACCTCCTATGGCAAAAGGTCATTTCGAAAAAGCTAATCCATTAATAAACTTTTCATCCAGTCCATTTTATATTGCTTCTGAGTTACAAAATTTAAATAAAACAGGAACAATATATGCAGGGGTAAGCTCGTTTGGTATCGGGGGAACAAATGGGCATTGTATTTTAGCATCATATAAAAAGGATAATTTAAATTTTGAAAATGAAACAGCCAAAAATACAGAGAACATTAGAGTTATTCTACCTTTTTCAGCGAAATCTATTAATGGCCTAAACAGCATTAAGAAGGAATTTAAGAATTATTTCAAAGGTTACGATTTATCAACACGTAATTTGTATAATTTATGCAATATTGCAAGAACTCTTCAAATGGGTAGAACCCAGTATGAATTCCGTGATAAGATAATTGCCACATCAATATCTGATGCATTAAGCCAACTTGAACAAACAAAATCAACAATACATGTAACATCGCCTAAAGAAAATATAATTTTTATTATATCCGGCCAAGGCAGCCATTCTATTTCAATCCATCGACATATTTACAAATCATCACTATTGTACCAAGAAAGATTCAAGGAATGTGTGAAAATTTTACAAAAATATGATCCTACAGTACCTGATCTTATCAGTTATATGGAAAAGGACATTCATGATCCAACTTATGATTCTTTGTTAATTTTTATGTCAAGTTATATATCGGCTGAAATTCTCAGATTGGTTTTTAATGTACAAATTTCTGGAATTGTTGGGCATAGTCTAGGACAATACGTGGCTGCCACACTTGCTGGGGTATTTCCACTTGATATTGCTTTAGGAATCGTATTAAAAAGAACACAAATTATGCATAAAATGGAAAGAGGTTCAATGTTGGCCACTAATTTAAATAGCAAACTTACAAACAATTTTATAAAGGTTGGGAAAATATCTTTAGCAGCAATAAATGAACAAAATCAATGCATATTTTCTGGAAAATCGAAAGACATTAAGGAGCTAGCAGTAATTCTTAAAACTCAAAATTATAAAATTAAAATTCTTAATGAAGCATATGGATTTCATTCGCATCTAACAGATTCCATTTTAGATGAATTTGAAATAGAGATTTCTTCATTACTTAATAAAGCATCTAAACAAGCAGCTTCTACAATTATTCCTTTTATCTCAAATACCACTGGAAGGTGGGTTAATGCTGAAGAAGTGTATACAACAAAATTTTGGAGAGAACATTTACGAAAAACTGTCCAATTTGAATCTGGAGTAAAAACTGTTTATTCAACATTTTCAAACCCAATTTTTATTAATGTCGGAATTGGAATTAATACAAGTAAATTGGTCCAAAGAATATTAAATAATAATATAACGATTCTAAATAGTTTTGTTTTGGATAAGACTAGTTTTGAAGAAATAATTGGAAATTGCTGGTGCAATGGAATTGAAATTAATTGGCACAATTACTATAAGCATATTTGTCCTTTGATGACAAAAACTCAACTTATTCGATTGCCTGGATATTCATTTAATCATACTTGTAGCTATTGGGTTCAGCAATCTCATCAAGCGTCATTAGTAAAATCTAATGCTGATGGTTTTGTATCTAATGAAATAGACCAACAGCCACTTGCAAAATATAACAATTCATCCACAATTGAAGGCAGAGTAATTCTTTGTTTTAAGAAAACTCTTGGTCTGAACAATATTAATATAAACAGCAACTTCTTTGATTGTGGCGGTGATTCTCTTTCAGCAATATCATTAATTAGTTTATTAAACAAAGAATTTAATTTTGGACTTTTATCACTAAAAGTTCTATTCAACTCTCAAACGCCCCTTGATTTAGCCAATTATATTAAAGAAATTTTAAGCACAAACATTTCGCCTACAATTAACAATGATTTTAATAAATCAACATCAATAACAAAATTCAATCATGGATGTGAAACTATTAATCCAATATATATGATACATCCAGTAAGTGGGTCTTGCATATTTTATAAAGATATTATTAGTTCATTAGATAATATAACAGCCTATGGGTTTGAATATCCTGGATTTCACGATACACCAATAGAATATCATTCTGTACAAGATCTTTCTGAAATTTACCTTAAAGATTTGTTAAAAAATAATCAAAATGATTCATATAATCTTTTTGGTTCTTCATTTGGCGGACTTGTAGCATATGAAATGGGATGCAAATTGGTTAAACAAGGAAAATCAGTGAATATAATCATGGTAGATACACCAACTGCTCAAGATGTGAAGAATTCAATAAGTGTAGCAGAAATTTTACATTATACTTATTCTAAAATATATAATTTAGATGAATTAATTGGAATAGATAATGATGAGAAGGCATTGCAGATAGCCATTAAAAAAGCATCAACCTTGGGTATGAAACAAAATCAAGTAATTATCACAGAAGACACTGTGACAGCAATGCTAAAAAGATATTTTGACGTGATTAACTTTAATATAAAAGCAATTAGAACATATCAATTACCAAGATCTGAAAAACCAATACCGATTATTTATTTCAAAGCAAAGATAAGAAAAAATTTAGATCCTGAATTTCCAGAAAAAGCTTGGATTAAAATACAGGAAATTAATGGAGGAAAGTTTGATTGTATTGAATTGGATGGAGATCATATTAGTGTGAATTTTAATCCAGCATGTAAAAATATTACTGATTATATCAAACAATATTTCAAATCTAATTATTAGCATCGCACAAATATAAATAGCAAACTTGCTTTGCAAAAGTAGCTATTATTCCAATAAGCATACTTGTAATAAATAGTATTTACATTGTATTGCTATTTAAATAAATTAAAATACTTTTAATTTTAAGATTAAAAATATAGAATTAGAATTAGCCAAGTTGATTTGAGATCTAAAATGTAGTTACTGCGTACTGTGATCAGTGATTTTCATACATCACACCGGAAATCAGAAATCTAGAAATCTGTGATTGATTAAAATAATTTTTAGCCAATCATGTATTGGCATTTTTCCAGATTTTTGATTCCGGTGTGATGTATGAAAATCGCTGATCATGGTAATTTGAAAAGCGAGTAAAATCAACTTGGGTTTAATCTAGCAATATTCCGGTATATAAAGTATTATTATCATTTATTTATTATTTTTTATGCCATTTATAAAAATATTTTTTATTGTGATTTTGCATAAATTTTTTTTATAATAAATGATATTGGCAATTTAAAATAACAAGTTATTTATGTTTATTTTCATAATTTTATGACATTGTCATTTACCATCACTGCAATGCTGGAACTAATAGTCTAGATGCTTTAAAACAACTTATTCCTAATTAACTTAGAGTATTCTATGAAGAATAATCAAGTCATTTTATTATTATATTCGTTCAATAAAATTAAAAAATCATGGACCGGGTAGATCCTAAAAAGCTCGGGCTGGTCGACCTGGCCGATCTTTTTGTTAGTACATCTTCTGATCAGAATTAGATTCATATTTAGGTCTACGTGTAAAAAGCCATGAAGTAGTTCCTTGCCAAATCCTAATGATACTAATTATTTAATTTTGATTCTTTTACCTTTGGCAAAATTGCAGGCAACTTCCCTGCAAAATTTTGATTATTGCGCTTTGCAAAAAGATGTGAACACTGCAGATCATTTTTCATGTGAGAATCGGAGATTTTATAGATTTTTTGAGATTTTATGAATTAAACTGATTTCAAAGAAATATAAACGTAACCAATTGAAATATAAAGTAACGGACATCTGGAATCTTAGTAATTCTCAGCCGTCATCATCACTAAAATCACATGTTCGCATCTTTTTGCAAAGCGCTATAAAAATTGTTTTCGTAATACAAGTCGTTTAAAATCTCAAAGGACTAAATGCCGATGGTACTAGACTATACACTTAAAATCCCAAAAGAACCGTAAACTAAATCTCGAAAAAAAAAAGTCCAAATAGTTATAATCTCGAAGAATCACAATCCCGTAAATATAATATCCCGAACATAATATAGCATTTCAAAACTATTATAAATACAAAAATGTTATTGCGCTTTGCAAAAAAGGTGACCCTGTGATTTCACGGTGATGACGGCGGGAAAATTTCAATTCCCTATTGATCATAATTTTCAATCAATAACTTCTATATTTTATCCAAAATCTTTAAAATTCTCAAAATTCGAAAAATCCACTAGAATCGGCTGATTTCTCGTGATTTTACATGACATCATGATCTGCAGAGGTCACCCATTTTTGCAAAGCGCAATAATATTAACTAGGTGAGTCCTCCGGCCCGCTAATATGATAATCATTAGATAAATTAGGATTCGATCATCGATTCTAAATCGATTTTGGGAATCGACTTATGCCATTAAATTTTAAATTTGCACAACCTTGCTAACGGCCTGGGACTATCGAAGGGTGAACCAAAATCCCATATGGCGATGCGATGCCAAGGAAAATGTGCTTTCAATTACATAAAGCTTGTATAATTTAAGTTACATTTTCCCTTGGTGTCGCTCATATGTAAGAATAATTAACAATTGTAGATAAAATGATGAATTAAGATATAATATGCTAAAAAAAAATTTTTCACACACTGAGATAAACAATAAATTAAAATCTATGAGCCCAAAATGAGCCAAAAATGTATAGGAATTATTTTAAGTACGGTCAGAGTGATGTGCAAGTTAGAATTTTCAAATTTCATGCTCATTATGCATGAAATTCATATGTAATCCTGCTAATACGGGCCAGAATTATGAGATTCCGAAATATTCTCATGCATATCACTAGTCAGGAGAAAGTGAAATTTCGGGGTTTTTTTACCGGTCCAATAGTAACATGTATGATATGTATTCATATGTTATACATATTACTAATCATATTTTCACAAACACAAAGGTTCATTTTCCCCTGTGAGCCTCAAATGATTTCTATATATTTTCGGGTTCATAATCTTTTATTTCAAACAATTGTCCTACTATCTTATACTACGATACATTACATACAGTATTATGTCATTTATTCATCTTTTATATATCAATACCGTCGTTAATTATTCTTATGATCTTCGCTATATAAAATAGTCTTGATGCATTTGAAAAATCTGTGCTTGGTTATGCATATTGCGGATCATTGTGTGTAATGTAGACAAAGTTTTTAAAGTTCATAATGTTAGGGTTAGCGTTTTGCATAAGGTTAGAAACTAAGTGGGTATATAGTAAAATCGTATAAGGAAAATTTTTGTTAGAGCACTAAAGGCAGTGTTGTACATGGACAGTCCATGGACATGTTCATATTTCTAGAAAAAAGTGATGTTTGAAATTTCTGATCGTGCTACGTTACACCTGATTCTCGAAATCTGATTTGTATCAGAAACTCCTAGCACGGATTTTCGAATGCGACAAAAATCCTAATACAGTAATATTGATCGGATTTACACTATTTTTTTACAAGAACCGGTCCTTTAATGGTCCCACGGGTATATAATAATTTTCGGGCAAATAATTGGCCTGGTGATCAACGATAATATGATAAACATATCATGACATCATTTGTTCACCAGAACCAAACGATTTGGCCTAAACTAACCCCTAAGCTGACCAATATTACCAACCCATATTTCATGTCGATCATTGTAGATGTTGATTTAACTAAAATTTTTTAAAATTTTAATCACGATATCCAGACAACTATCTGACCAAAATTGATTAAAATTTTTTTTATTTGAATTCTATGAATCCATAGAATTCAATAAAAAAACTTTATTGATTTTGATCAGGTGGTTGTGGATATATCTTCGCTCAAAGTTAGAGAAGAATCAAACCGCCTATCAAAATAGAAGCTGCGGCAAATTTTTTCAAAACTTTGACGAAGATATTTCCACAATCATTTCATATGAAAGTTCCATTAATATCAATATAAAAATTTTTAATAAGACCTATAGAGGACAATTATTTTTCATGTGTAGGAATCAGGTTGTCAAGAAAATCTGACCAAAATCAATGAAGCTTTTTTTTATTTGAATTGTATATATTAATAGAATTTAAATCTAATTTCGATATGTATTCTATTCTTGCTTTTCCCAACTTATTTATTAATTTCAATGGAATTAAAATAAAAATCAAATTATAGTTATATAGATGATTATCAATTATGTGTTATCTTTGTTAAAGTTTAAAATTAAACTACTATTCGGATTTTGATAGTATTCGAATGCTCTGTATTTACTCTTTTTAACACCGATTCTTCTTTATATTAATGACTAACCATAATTATTCCAATCACTACTCCCATGACTGAAATATAGCATGACTTGCTTTACTGTTACCAAATTAATCGTTAATAGTGCTCCGAACGGGTCGGGTTAAAAATTTTCGGGTTAGAGCTTCAACCCGAACCGAAATTTTAGGGCTAATATATTAAATTTTTTTAAAAATGAATTCAAATAGCCTTTTTTTGCTCTTAAACGTTTAATAATTTATGTAACGATGATCATCGAAGTTGGCTAATCAAATCTAAGCGCGGTATGCTTATAAACTCAGCGGGCTACTACAGTA